GCAGTCTCTGCCCATCCTTCCTCCTCTCTCCCTCTGAAAAATCACCTGCCGAAGTAGGTGGAGAGCCCTTAGGCGGGTTACTACACTCGCCTTTTCAGGACTGTGAGTCCGAAGACTCGGAGAAGTTTTGTTTTAAAATTTTCTGAGATCTCATTTTTGGTCCCACGAGTACGGCGGGAAGTGGGCGTCGACCCCGGGTAGAGCCCCCGCATTACCCGGGGTAAGGCTAGCATGTCCCCTGGGTTCGCCAGGTGTCCAGGATGAGGAACCACTAGCGACAGGTCACGCACCTGCCATTCATCCCATAAGCGTGGCATGCCTCAACCGTAGGATTACGTGGTGTTTTAAAGAGGACCCGCCTCACGGTCCGGCCCATTAAGGCAAGACCCCCGGCCCCAGAGACATGACCTAGGGTTACGGTGTGATAGGCTAAGGTCTGCCGGGATTGCCTGAGTCCCCTGTACCAGAGTGCCAAAGCACCCTGGCCCCTCGCAATTGTGTCAAGTTATACGTCCTGACAAGTACGGGTTTGCAATCAGGGTTTTCTTTCCCCTAGAACGGTTGCCTTCGCCCGGCTCACGAGCCCGTTCTGCCCGCGCTGTAAGGTCCTTTGGGCCCCACGAATGAGACCCTCCAGGCCCTGGTTGAAACCTGGAGGCAGTTGCCCGTCCAGGAGTATTATGGACGCTCTTAGTCTGACCCCTCTGTACAGACCACTCCGGCATGGTAGAACCTGCCAGGGGCCGAAGCCCCCGCCGGCACAGCTCTGTACATCACAGGGACACGCAAGCTCCCCCACCATGGCAAGGTGGCGTCCACGGGGGAGAAAAAGGGGACACTTTTTTGGTCCCCTCTCCCACCCGATGACCAGTAACCTGGCACAATTGACGGCGATCCCTTCCGAGAGGGCCCCAGTACTCGACGGCTTTTGCCTGACGGATCAGGTCGCACGCCACCTGCGTGTTCCCCGTTGCCGACTATCTCTAGCCGCCAAACACCAAGGTACTCCCTCCCGGATGGACCACCCCCGATTGTGTGCCCCAGGCTTCCCGGACACCAGGTGTTGTACCGTTGATCGCATGATGGATGGTGGGTGGTGGACCTCATCCATCCCGCATGCAACCCCGGCACTGTAAATGTCGTGTCTTTAGGCACGTGCCAGCCGAACTGCTTCCGAATGCGGTATCGTGTGTCCGTATACACCCTTTACAGGACCGGTCGAGGCGCAGGGACGACCAGCTGCGGGAGTCTTCCAGTCCTGCAGTAGTGCATACGTGAGGCCTCATCACCGTCACCGATGCCACGCTACCACTCCCCTCGGGGTTTACCAACCAGGCACCAGCCCGCCGGGTCAGCGGTCCGGCGCCCGCCCGATGGTCCCTTGGGATAGGCCGCCGCGGCATCGATTCCAACGGTGGCATGCCTCCACGACCCATACTCCCGTAACAGCTGGCCGGCTCCATTTCTATGAGGGTAAGGCTGGGACACCGATGAATGCATCCCCCAAGTTTCCTCAAAGAATGCCCACCCGGCACCTAGAAAAACCCTCCTTCAGAGGCGACCTAAGCTAGTTCATTCGACACACATGTCCTCTCCGGCAGTGAGACGGGGATGGCCCCATCCGTCACCGTCTCAGCCCCACTCCTTCGAGGACATGTACCGTCGCCAGCCCCCTCTGGACCCCTACCCCCCACACACACATTCATTCTGGATGGCAAAGCCATCCTACACCCAAGAGGAGCCCGTTCCGTTCCCCGAGAGCACCCTTGTTCCCACTACCGAGCGAACCCCCCGGCCCTCAAGAGCATTGGCCTAACGGATCAGGGGGTGCACGACAGTGCTCACTCCCCGTTGCCGACTATCCGCCGCCCTGGGAGATCTCTGGCGGTTGATCCGCCTCAATCTCCCCCGAGGGGGCTTCGGCCGTGGTGGCTACAATCGCGTGCCTCTCCTGTCGCGGAGTCACACACGCGCACGTGCGGTGTCCCTACCTCTTCGTCCCCCACCCCTGCGGAGTATGGGGGGAGTCGTTAACCAGGGGAACCGGGGGTGACACTCCCACCGGCTCCCCTCCTAAAGTTGTTCGGGGTGTCCCCTCAGGGTCCACCCTTCTCACCTTTCTGGTGTCCTGCTCCTCTTCTTACCTGTCCGACGTCCTCGGCTACGGTTCCCTTCTTCCCCTCCTTTTCCTTTGCTCCAAGGGCGCCACCTCCATAGGATCCTCCTCTGGAGAGCTTGGGAATGAGCTCATCGCATGCTCCTGCTTCCACTCCTGCGAGAGCAGGACCGTCGAGGCCACCTCATCCTCGTCCACCTGGTCCCTCGTCAGCGGGAGATCCGGAGCTGGTCCAGGCACCCCCGTTGGGTCCCTCGTTGGGGAGGCGCCAGTATTGGCACCTCCTACCTGCAACACCCGTTTCGGTGGGGCCTCCGCGGGGGTTCGGGCCTCCCCCGCTTCGGCTCCTGTCTTCCCGGTTCGCTCTCCCTCCTCCTTTCTCTTCCCCCACCTCTTCTTTTTGGACGGGGGTTTGCAAGCCGGCCCTCCGATCCTGTGGCCGGAGGGCCTGCCCCCCTAAGTGCAAACAGGGCACCTTGCCGCCGCCTGATACCCCTTGGCGCGATGTCCGGGGTTACCGCTGCGGTCGACGGCGCTAGTGCACCGCTCGCGCGCATGCCCCGGGTCCAAAGAACGGAAGCACAGGGCCGCGCGAGCGGGCAGCGCCGTCACCCCAGCGCGGGTCCACCCCACCGGGACCCGCTCCGCGGCGGTGACCTTAGCGGCCACCGCCTGCGGACACCGCACCACTATCGCCCCTATTCCCCTTTGAGAGACGCTCATTTCTCCCGTGGAGATCACCCCGGGAGAGCATCCCTCAGATAGGGCTACGGCGGCCGCCACTTCATCGGCCCCGGTTGTCGCATCCAGGCCGGAGATTCGTATCGCTACTATCTTCTCCGGCCTATGGACGCGAAAACCGGGGCCCTTCTCCGCCGCCAGCTTGCGTAGTTCCTCCGCAAGCCGGTCGGCGGAGGGCCCTGCTTTGAGGCCAGGCACCTCTATCAACATGGCCCCTTTTAGGGCCTGGCGGACTCTGAGAGCAATACCAATGCCCAAGTCCGCCGGCTTAATGCGGTGCCTGGCCTCCTTCATAAACTCATGGTATCTCCCACTGGAACAAGTGACTGTGACGGCCGCCGACCTTGGCGGCTTCGGTGTGCCATGTCCCGCCTCTGTCTTACTCTTACCGGGCCCATCCCGCCTCGTCTGAGCTGGAGCGCTCTCCTTTTTCCTCTCCTCCTTCGGCTGCTGTTGCCGCCGCCCTTCCGGGTTGAACGGCTCCTGCGGCCCTCTCTCCAGCTGATACCGGTCCCGCTCCCTCAGCTTAGCGGCCGGAGTCCTCATGGGAGGCTTCCCAGTTTGCGGTCCTGAAGTTGACCCCTGGGCCAACTCCGGTTCCGCAAGCTTGCGCTTCCCCTCCTTCTTCCACTTCTTCTTTTTCACCCACGCCTTCTTACCTTTTCTCTTTTCCGTGTCCCCCTTGGGCTCCGCTGGTGGTGGCGTTGCCCGGGTCATTCCCAGAGAGATTATCCCCTTCTTCCTAGGAGCCGGAATCGGCATTTGGGCCCCTACCCCCTCGGGCACCCAGCTGCCCTTTCCCTCGGCGTCCCGGCGAGCCGCTCCCACCTCTTGATCGAGCTCCGCAAGAACAACTAGGCAGTTACTAGACATACTGTAATGTACGAACATAACCTTTTTTGCAGCTACTAACCAATTTTAAACTGTTGATAGCTATATGGTAACTAGATTATGTTTATTTAGAAAAGCAACGCCATCTATTATCGTATTTTCTATATGATTACTAGATACTAACTGGATCGCAACATCTGATTATGGGTGTTTATTTCTAGCGGTCTGATTTGTAATCGAATTGGAAGCAGTAATATAAACTGACTTTAGAAAAAGTTCCCTAGAATTCGATTTATGAAACGTGTCCTCGGAGCAATCCGATCAGATCCGATTAGCTCCCCAAATAGCACAAGGACGTCCAGGACGGACTTCGCGCATATCCTGAGGAAATCCTGAGTTCATCCCGGGACGTCCTCAGGACGTCTTGAGGAATAGCAAACGAGCGCCACTTTTCCGTCCTCAGGACATCCTGAGGACATTCCGTCGGACGTTCTGAGGATTTCCGTGGGACATCCTGAGGATTTCCGTGGGACATCCCGAGGATATCCTGTCGAACGTCCTGAGGACTTCCTAAGGACGTTCTTGTGCTATTGGGGTGGGACATTTCTTAGACGTCTAAAGGAAAAAATTCCAAAAGTGAAATAGAACTATAAATGTTAATTTCTTAATTTTGATGTAGGATCGAGTCGAATGCTCTTTTTCTTATATTTATAATACAAATAAAAAATAGGAAGCACATAACTCAATTCAATTAGGAGTCAGCAAATTCAAAACATATTTTTACTGTTGAAATGTGTTATAACTAATAACATTAGACGAATTACTTTGCCAATATGTTAAATAAAAGATATTAAAAGTATTACTTTTTGTATTATTTGCAACATTTTAATTAAAATATTTCTATTTCACTTTTAGAATTTAATCAAAGTATAAAAAAAGAAAAAACGAATTATTTTACACTACATTGTATTTATATAACCTCAATAATATATATAAACTTATATCATATCTCAATACAAAATATTTCTACAAGGCAAACTGTAAGATTATAATTTAATACAAAAAATTTTAAATAAATGCTTTCGCTTATTTCACTTATTTCGCTTATTTGTATCCGGCCTAATAAAATCATAACGTTTATATAAACTCGTCCGAAGATTCGAAAAACTTTTTCAGCCTACACACAAAAAAGGCAAAACAAAAGAAAATATAATTTTTTTTATCAAATTTGCTTTGTACTATACACGGTGTCTGGAAAGGTAAGGTCAATCGAATAGGAGGTGAAAGAGGAGCATGAGTAGAACACATAATATGTAAATAAAATTTTTTCGTATTTGCTATGGTTTAGAAAATATAGCGCTTTACAGGGGTGTCTAAAAAGTGTTGATACCTCTTAATATTTCAAAAAGTACGCATTTCTGAGAAAAATGTTTCATACAGAAATTGTAGGGTTTTAAGTGTAGCAGTGCATAGAAGAATAGCGTTCTCAAGGTCACGTAAAGATAACCTTGAAATTTTTAATGGGTATCCCCTTTCCTCTTCTTTCCCTTCCTATTCGATTGACCTTACCTTTCCAAACACTGTATATCTCACAATATTCCTATTTTTTACAAATGCACTTAGATACAATCGATTTTTAGATACTTTGACGAGAAAGTACTTTTATAGACGTTTGTTGCCATTTACTCCCGATATACGGATACAAGCTAGCTATTCCATAACGACCAGTATTATCAAGTCACCATCACCATAAAGCCATTTCATAATTATTTATAGAGTGCTTTCCAGCAAAACGACATAGGTGACACAATGTAACATAATTACATTGAATCATTTCCTTTTTGTTTAACATTGATAAACGACAAGGATAAAACGATTTACTGTATTACGTTGATGGTACTGTATACGTTGATGGAAAGCACCAATAGTCAAGTCTTGAGAAAACCGTAGTAAAGAATGATCACGATTTTTTCTAAGTACAAATAGACATTGAATTGTTTAAAGCAATTTCACAATTATTTATTAAGAATATTATTAGTAGAAATATTTGAAGTAAAACTTACGACCAGCTCACAAGGAATTTCTTTCCCTAAGTGTTTGGATATCTGAATCCACAAATAAATATCAATATAAAAAAGGACAAAGAACATTCTAATCATAATGGACTTTGTTTCTGACAAAAACTATTCTATTTTTTTAACGCCAATTCATCGTGATCATTGTCGATAAGAAAATTTGTCTCAAAAAGTACTTTCTTTGATCATACAACCACAAAATATCGAAGAATCATATGCACAAGCAACGTCCACGTGTGCAATTTCATTTACAAATATAACCAAGTTAAATTGTACGCATTCTTTGTTTTTAGAAAACATTTTATGTAACGAATAAAGATAGAAATTTTAATATTAATAGCTTAGTTAATACACATGTAAAAAAAACTAATATTTGCTTAAGAACAAATTTGTACTTTTCTTTAGTATGATTTAAACTTTGGTCAGAGTTATTTGCACGATCTAGGCGATTTTCAAGAACTACGCCAGTGCATCTGTTCTTATTGAAATTCTCTATGTTTTTTATTTTTATATACGCTATCAATATACTTATATTAATTATATATTGATAACGTATATAAAAATAAAGGACGTAGAAGATTTTGATAAGAAATTCATTAAGAATAGACTAGTAATTAGAAATCTCGCAAGCTCCTGCGGACATGTATGACAGTCCTGTGTCTGAGCGGTGCGACCATCATGCCGGCCGAGCGGATATGCAAGAGGAAAAAATAGGCATAGCTCTTGAGTATCATGATGCTCATTGTGAACCCATGTACCCGAGTTTATCACTGCGGACACTCACATCCGAGTTGGTTGTATAAATACACTATAAGTTACAGTCCAATGGACGGAATTATTTGCACTTTTGATTTTCAAGAGCTACGCCTATTTTTATTCAAATACTAATTGTATCCCTTAATTAAAATTTTATGTTGTTGCATGTTCATCCGTATTGTTTCTGCAAAAAAAGAATATATAAAAATTAATGCTGATAACTAATTTAATCGAGATATATATATATATATATATACACACACACACACATATATATATATACACATATACACACACACACACACATATATATATATATATATAGGGTGTGTTCCCATTTCCTCTCATTATCAGTACTACTGCCAGTACTAAAAATCTATAATTTACCTCACGTACATTATAGGACTTTCATTACTGGCACTAGTACTGAGAGGAAATGGGAACAGAGCCATAGTACATTCAATAATGCAATTTGTAAAAATTTACTTTGCTTTTTTTCGGTAACGTTCATTTGCATGCTGTAACCACGATTTTATTGGTTCACTGACAGTTTCTTCTGTTGCGTCTATAAAATTAGTTCGTACAACACCTATAAGGAAAATAGGAAGTCAATTTGGTTTATAAATTAATATTATAATTAAAAGTGACAATAATATATATATATATAATATATATATATATATATAATATATAATATATATAATAATAATAATATAATAATATATATATATAATAATATATATAATATATAATATATATATATATATATATATATATACTTACTTAATATAATTTTCCGTAGCTCCAAATCATAAAACATTCGCTTTTTCTTTCCTCCAATATAATTAAACATGCACGCTAATTTATCGGATGTCAATGTTCGTAGAAGATTAAATATCATTTTTTTATATCACTTCCGCCAATACGCGATAATTCTATAATCTGTAAAAAAATGTGAGTATATAATACATATAAATAATAAGTATAATATATGACATATTCGCGTGTGCGCACACACCTTATATGTATACGTATACACAATTGATTCCAATTTTTACAGTACTTACCAATTTTTTGCGATTTATTTGACCTTCAATTTTTCAAAAGCATTTAAATCTTCCATAGTCTCAAAGGGAAAATTATTCATTATATTCATTATATCTTGCTCCGCAGTTTTGTCTTCTATTCCATGAGAAACAGATGTTTGAAGATTTAGTAAAATAGTGTGTAATTTGCTATTCAAAAATTTTCCTTGTTCTTGCAATGAAGATAATTGAAATCCGATGTCTGATAGTTTCCTTATCACGTAACGTTCAAAATTAGAGCGTGCTACAATTATAAAATGTAATAAAATATTAATTAAAGTATATTCGTACATTGTAAAATAAAATATTTATAAATGACAGTTTTGTACTTACTTGAACCAATATTACTTGCGTTACGTTCAACGCTAGACTCGTCATGATATAAATTATCTTCATTACATGTAGGGAGAAAATATATTAATATACATTTTTAAAAAAGCATAACATTCCCAGTAAACAGTAACGTAACATCAATTTTATAATTTCCTAACAATGTAACTTGTGTATAATACAGGCCTTATATTGCATTTAAAATCATATATTTATATTATATATATATATATATATAATATTTATTGTTAGAAAATCTTATATATATATATATTAATAAGTAACGACTGTTATTTATAAACAACTAATAATAAAGAAATGCGCCAATATGCAGTTTAGGTTGGTTCTTTTGTTTAATAATATTTTTCGTGTACATTTTCTTCATGTAGCAGACTACACGCCGTTACTTCCGTTCTTGAAATGCAATCTAATGCTGAAGTTAGAATAATATAATCACATAATTAAGTTGATAATCAATTTAACAACACCGATACAAATCAAAAGATCTAGGTCTGACCGTATATTGGCGCATTTCTTTAGTATTGATTGCAATAACAAAGTTAAGAGGGAAATTATCAAGATTGGGAAGTAACGCGTTATTTAATTATACACTGTTACCGTAACTTTTTTCTCGGAAACAATCGTTATTTTATTGTCTGCATAGTAATGGTGATGCGTTTACGTACACTTTTATGAAATAACGTTTTCAATTCTGGAAATTATAACATTGGTGTAATGTAACTGTTAGCTACTGATTAGTATGTCTCTCAATAATAAATTATCTATGTATTTACCAAAAATAACATCCTTATCATTTTTCTTCTTAATTTCGCGTACATTTGTATTTTCAGATTTCTTTTGCTCATTTCTTTCACAAGTTGTTACAGCTTCTTCTGTATAATAAATTGAATCAATTTAATGTTTACATTTTTTATATACATTATATAAAAATATATAAAGTTTGTTTCATATTTACTTATAAACTGTGTTTTATCATCAAATTTCCTTGATTTATCAAATCCTTTTATTTGCGGAATGTTAGCATAACATGGTAACTGCGTATTTTCTTTATCAGAATCGCTAACATCACTGCTTGACATAACCTTTTTCGCTTGACATAACTTTTTTGATGTATCATCAAATTTCTTTGATTTGTCAAATCTTTTTATTTGCGGAATCTTAAGATAACATGGTAAAACAGCGTATTTTCATTATCAGAATCGCTACCATCACTACTGCTTGAGATAACCTTTTTCGCTCTGTCTTTTCTAGATTTCTTAGAATTTTCAAAATCGTCATTTTCAGAATTAATGTCCGATGCTATTTCTGCTTTCTTTAATTTCAATAATCCTTCTTCATATGAATCTAAACAGAAAATGCAATTTATTAATGCTTAAAACGTATTACAATGAAGAATTTATATAACAAATGTTCAATTAATATAAACTTTAATCACAAATAACATTTCTACTTTGTTGATTTCGTAAGTAACTTACTTGAAGTGGCTAATATCTTGTTTATTTCATGCAAGGGCCAATTACTTTCATATGATATGTGCTGTTGTACAGCTTTATTAAACTTTAAATGTGAAGTAAAAGGTGGTCAACGAGCGGCACTTTCATTTTCCGTTATCCAGGAAATAGGAATCATTTCCACTCCAACTTCGAACTCGAGGATGGACTATAATTCTTCCATTATGTATATGTGCACTGTATAATAATATATCATACATATATATTGTACTATATTCGATATATATATATATATATATATATATGCTAGTTAAGCTTAGAATATAGATGGCGTTAAGCACTAGGTAACAAACGAGCGTTGCGAACGCGGAGAGGAAAAACGAAACGAATTAGCTAGTGACATGCAATGATAACGAACGATTTGCGCTATTCAATTAAGAGAGATCAGTAGAAAAAAGCTTTTGTGATCCAAGCAATAAATACCGTTACAAATGTTTATATGTGATGTTATTGGTGAATACTTACAAATACATTACATATATATATATATATGTACTTTATATATATACTTTATATATATATATATATATATATATATATATACTTTATATATATATATATATTTACAAATGCAGCAATAGAAAGACAACAAATTTGTTATTTAATGGTAGCTTGTCATATTTTGTTTTAATATCTTTAATTGGCCATATCTTTAGGTCTGATAAGTTATTCACAACGAATATTCCCAGAAGAGACAAAGGACATGGTTTATTATAGAAATCTTCTCTATTCATTACCATAAAATTACCATAAAAATTCATTACCAATAATTACATCCGTATTAAGTTCTTTATGATGAGCAACATTTTTTATTTCAACAATGCTTCCATTTATCAAATCACAGCAATTATCTGCTAATATATCAGTACGTATGATTACATTTAAACATTTTATTATGTAATACTGCGGGTTACAGCAGCCTTCAATTAAAGGACCTTTGATATGAGTTGATTTTCTGTCAATTACAAAATCAGATAATGTTATGTGCAATTCGCGTGGTTTCTCAATTTTTTTTGTTCCTGTTCAATATATCGTTGCTTTTTCAGTATCTTCTTAAATATTTGCAAGTAATTTTCATACTTGAAAGAACTAAACGTATCCAGTGTACCAAACTTTTTCGCATCTTGTGTTAAATGAATAAGACCATGCACGTTATGTGAAACGTTGTGAATATCATACAACAACTTGAAAGATACAAAATATTGCAGAAGCTCCTGAGCATAGTCAATAAGTTCTTCAAATTGTGAACAACATAATATCCTAATTGCCACATGCAATACTAAAAAATGATGATATAAATCCTTTCGAAGAAGTTTGAAAGCTACACAACCTGTATATAATAAAACATTTCGAAATTCTGTTGCCTTCCATAGTTTAACAAGGGCAAGTGATCTTGGTTTGTGTACAAATTCGCATGGCATGTATAATTTTAAAACATTTTCCAGCTCCGATAATATTGTCTCAACTTTCCTGTGTTGCAAACGAACTTTAAGATCCCCAAATAACCATATGTATAACAATTTGCGCATAACTCCCAAACATATTAGATGCATATAATCGAGAGGTATATTGTTTACGAGATCAAAATCTGGTAACGCTAAAAGAGCTGAATGCCCAATGTGATAATTTTCATCCTTCCTTAAACGAAAATCTGTATCTGTTCGTACCTGTGCATTTATTTCAGGAAAACACATTTTACCATTAACGTAGCTGCCTTCAGTTATGCACTTTGTGCAACTGTAATAACCGTTATGTCCTTTTATTTGCAACATAAATGCCTTTGCTGGCGCATCACATATTATAGAATGTATTGTGCATGACACACTTGTGTTTTTTAAAATGATTCCTTCTTCATGTAATATTTTTACTTCATCCACAAATTTTGCAAGAAATTCATTATTATCTGATGGTTTCTGTGTTCCATAGTAAATACCAATAATATAAACCTCTTTAGATTCAGCTACGGATCCCAGGATCGGCCAAAATTGTTATTGCGATGATTTTGATAACGGCAATCCATCAACATTTATTGATATTTTGGTTTCTGTGATATTTCGTGAAAGTGACGGTATAATACTTAGTATTCCTTTTCTCAGTCCAAAATGAAAATATTGACCACCAGCGCAAATCTCAATATTACTACTCCTAGGAGTATGCAAAAGAGTTCTTGGATCAAACGGTATGTTCAAGCTGCAATTTTCACATGTATATTGTTTTATTCCTTGTAACAAAGAGCGCAATGATGATTGCGAAATATGTTCTTCAATAGCCCATTGGCTTAAAAATGTTTTTAAATCAATACTCTTATTTAATGCGCTATCTACATTATTATTTTCTGTAATATCGTTTATGTGATCTTGTACGATTACGATATTCTCATCAGAAAGCTCATATTCACTTGATACTAGATCTTCATCATGTAAAACATTTTCAAATATATTTTGGACTGTATCATCATCATGCATATTATCATTTTGTAATGGACTTTGTAATATATTTTCAGAAAATGATGTTGAAGCAAATGTAGACTCCGTAATTTCATGTGATTCCATTATAATATCTGCCTCCATTTTTACCATCCTTTTCGTTGTGAAGAACTAAGTACGCGTTTGTACGAATGTTTATGCGACATGTTGAATTAGTTTTCCTAAAATTAGTTTAGTAGCAATTAAAAGTGACAAATTAACAACTGAAAGTCAAAGTTAATTTAGTAATTACTGTTTAAAATGTAAAAATAATAATACACGCATTTGTATGAAATTTTTTATCGCTAATAAAAATTAATGGTCAATTATTGGAATATAAGGTCTGTTCTTCATTGTTAAACTAATGCACTTTTGCAACTTAAAAGGAAACAAGTAGAGAAGACCGGTGTTGATTATCATATGTTTCTTATTCAGCTGCTAGAAATGCTGTTGTATTGTGGCTTCATAAGTATATCCTACGCAATGGCTGCGTCCAGCAGAGAAAGCTGTTTCGCTGTTGTAAAATGTGAATCTAATTAACATATACTCTTGGTTTCGGCCAAAATTAAAAGCATACACCAGTCAGATTTATAAATCTTACAGTTGCAAAGCAGCTTTCTCTGTTCAACGCAACCAATGCTTCTCGATCATATGCGTGATTTGGAGAGCTTGATGTAACGTTTGCCTGTTATTTGAGAATTACTATTTTCAATAGTAAATAACATTTTTAAACTTCACTTAATTGTTAACACAAAATACTAGAATAAACAAATCATATTTTTTGATAAGCCTTCTTGAAACTTTATATTTGTAGTAAGTTTTGTGACATATTATGATTTAATCGATCTAATCTTTTACGAGCGAGAATGTATGAAAATGAAAAGCGCATCGGGATATAGGGAGACCGAATGTAGCTTCTACATTTGGTAGAATGTGAAATGCTTGTTGCATTCTGGGTTAGATCGTGATCGAGTTCGCTATTTTCTCCCTATGAGGCTCTTTAGTTGATAAGAATAAAAAAGTTCGTTAAGTTTATTAATTTTTTCAGTAAAATTTGGAATATTAATCCTCAATTCATAGGTATCACTACAATTAATGATAATATTTATAAAAAACAGCAATACAGACTTGTGTCTTATTTTTGTGTTATAACTGCTATACATATCTGATTAATCATTGCTTTTAAATATTTTTATTACTTTCTTTAAAAATTTGTTTCTGTTATAAAAAATAAATAATTTTAATTAATTAATGTTTAATCAAATTTCTTTATTTTTTATATTACTATTTATTTTTAATTTTATATTGTAGAATAATATTTATAATTGTAAGAAAATTTTTAAAAATATTTCAATTTGTTTCGAATATGCAAATTTATTATTTAAAATACTTTGTGACAACTATTGTGATCATATCGAGTATGATTGTTATATTTTTCATTAATTCTTTGAAATCTCACATTTCTTATTAAATTGATAATATAACTTAAATGTATCATACTTACAGTAAGGCAGAAGGATGGAAATATATGAAGGATGGAAATCTACAGAGAACTGGAAATTCTATTAGCAATGAATTAATAATAAAAAAGTAAAGTATGGCAATCAAGCTCGGTCTTCATTATGTAACTGTGAATTTTTAAGTTAATAAGAAAAAAAACTAGTGCAAGCTAATGCTGCCAATTCAGATGTAAGGAACAGATCTATAATCTAAAAACTGAATTTTTACAAAGCAATATCTTATGAACGTCTATTGAAACAACTTTAAAATTATTTGTAATTGGAATCGGATTGCAATTGAATTCAATCATGCAAAAAATTGATAGAATCATGCAAAGAATTGATAGAACTGCAATATTTATTCCAAACTTGATTTCATGCAGCTATTTACGACTTACCAATTTTTTAATAATGTAGGCTAATTCACGTAGTTCGTCACACACCGCGTTCTATGCTTTATCGGGTTAATTGAACACATAGGTTTACGTAATTAATTCAAGGACATAGCGTGTTAGGTACATAGCGTGTTTTTCCCACAAAAAGCGATACAGCGACTTTGGTGCTGCCGAAGAGATGCAAAGACAGGACAGCAGTCTCAAAAATACTGTAACATAAGATATTAAAATTATACTGATAACGATACAGCTATTCCCACTTGATACTACAAATGCTTGGAAACATTCTTCTGCTCTTACTTTCTTCATTGAAAAGAAAGGACTAAAGGAACGCTTTTAAACATTTATAGTATTAATAAGTAGATTGCAACTTATGTCTCATATGTAAATCAATAAAGTACATCGACATTGTATGATTATACTGCCGGTCTGCCGGTGACCGGTGTGATATTCCACATACAAAACTATGTCAAACATTTTACTTATTATATTTTACATGTTATATTGCAAAATAGTAGCTGGTAATGTACAAACGCTAACCCATCCATATCAAAATTTAATAAAACGTTAAATTAAGCGAAGAATTTATTATTTTATATATATACACATATATTAAATTGGAACGTAAAATTATTCCTCGAACGTATACATAACCTATATTTTTCGATCAGCATAGTTTTGCGATATCAAAAGAATATCATAAAAATGTTATTTTATTTCATGTGCATAACGTGTTATTTATATGAAATGATTGTTTAAACAATAAGATAATAACGTACCTTATGCGTTTCCCTTGATGCGCGCAGGTATGCGAGGAGAACGTGTGAGAACGTGGTCGATCAGTCGGTGGTCGGACCGGAAACGATCAGCTATTCCAGCAATGGGCGCGTTCAGCAGACCAAGGCTGCGTTCCGTTTCACGCATGTGCGCGTAGTATATATATTGGTATGTATATATAGTGTACGTCACGTATACTATAGGTAAATGCGCGCATAGGCGCATGAAGGTACGGTCACATGAACGAGAATGAACGTGCGGGACGGAGGATGCATGATTCAAACAGCCAATCAACGCCCTTCCAAACTTTTATATCCCGCATGTTTGCGTTTTATATAAAACATTTACATTAAAATAATACAACTATATCCTAAAAGGATCCCAGGATATCCCGGGACATATTCAGGATGATCCTGAGAACGTCCTATGCTATCTAGATATCCTGAAAAGATCCCAGGACATCCTGGAACATATTCAGGATGATCCTAAGGACGTCCTGTGCTATTTGGGTCATGACAAATAGAGAAGGACATGGTTTATTTACTTGTGATTTACATTTCAAATCATATTAATACGAATCAGGCAAAATATATAGGTATATACTTTATGAATCTTATAATTACTTTCCTAGCCAAAGCAATCTAATGTGAAAACCAAATTGTCACTTTGCACTGTGAAATGAAATATGAATAATTAAAATTGACTGACATAATAGGTTAAGAAACCTATCATAATAATGAATTATAGCGGTTGTTTGATTTACTAATTTTTTTGTAATTAAAACAAGGAAATTAGCGGTAGCCGCAGCAAAGTACAAAAGAATTAGGCTAAGAAAGTGCTTTTCTGTTAATTGTACAAAAAACAGGAAAGTTGGGTGAAACTAATTAAGAAACTTAAACTCTTTTGAAACTCTTTTGTATTTGACTACGACTATCCCAAATCTTATTATTTGATTAATTTTTTTTTGTTTTGAATAGCAAAATATCTTCTTGTCCTAATGACTTTGTACTTTGTTGTGACTATCTGAAACCTTTTTGTTATTAGTTTTATTTAAAAAAAATCAAATAACAAGGTGGTTTGAGGTAAATACAAAGTATAAGGGCGTTAAATTTTTTACCGATTAGTTTCACCCTATTTTTTTATCTTTTGTGCAATTAATTTTCTTATCTTTTGTGCAATTAATAGTAAAATACTTTCTTCTTCTAACTTGTACTTTGCTGCGGCTATCTTTAACCTCCTTCTTATTTGTTTTATTTAAAAAAAAATTAATGAAACTGCTATAATTTGTCGCAATAACAGATTTCGTAATTTGTAATATTAGTCAACTTTAACTATTCATATCTCGCTTTGCGGTGTAGAGCGACTATTTTGACTTTCAACTATGGTTACTACGCATTAAAACACAATATAAATATGTGAATTTCAACCAAATCGGAAGTGAAAGTCTAAATTAGATAATTACCTAATTTTCAACTTCCTTCAAATGTCTATTCCCAGACAGCACAAAACGTCTTCGGGATCATCCTGAATATATCCAGGATAATCTTGGATATTTCTAGGACGTTTTAAGATTTGATTATAAATATATTTTATGAAAATTTAATATGCATTTATAATTACTTTTAACTATGGGGAATATTTAATATAATTTAGAAATGTTGAGTATTATAATAAGTATAAATGTCCTATAAATGTCCACTGGATAACCACAGGATGTTTGTAGAATATTTGATTATTCCAGCCCTAATAGCATAAGGTGTCCTGAGGATGTCCCAGGGACGTCTCGAGGACATAGGACATCCTCAGGACGTACACTGGACGTCCTCTGGATAGTTGTGCTATTAGGGCAGATAGCTCATAATGTCCTACAATTATCCTAAATACATCCAAGGCATCCTAAGATATTCCCCAGAACATCCTAAGTATATTAGATTTGTTTTTGTAGGCACTGGATTCTTTGTTCTTTTTCTCTCGAACATTCGAATATATATGTATATATTTCATTTCAAGTGCAGAAAGTGTTAAAGAGTTTAGATAAAACATCCTATTATTATCGTTAAACTATTACAGAATATTAGATATATAAGATGTCCTAGAAATATCCTAGGGATTTCCTTAGGATGTCTAGATTTTTGCATAAATATTTATATAATAAATATGGGAAATATATAATTGCATTTTTTTATGTAATGTGTTTCTCTTAAAACTGAACAATTTTTGTCTGAAACATTTGTCTGAAATGTTCTTAATACTTTTCGAAATATGGAGCTGTATCAATTAAAATAGGACATCCTATATAAATTTGAAAGTTCATAATCTATAGGGTATTAAGTATCCGCCGCCCACTAAGTATATAGCAATACTTTTTATAAAAAATTAAGACGAAAAGTCCTGAGTCACTTTTTTCTAAAATGATTATTGAAGAAGATATTCTTAAGTAAATACTAGCCAATCAGCGTCGTCATTTAGCTAGACGCAGGTTTGTGTGCCGCACACTTGATATTATGCGTAAACACTTCGCCGCTACTTTCGACGAATTTTCACGTCGCTAAGACAACCTGCAGTTACAAGATGCGTGCAACTTCGCGCTCATAATCGAATGACATACGCAATGCAAATGGAAAATAACGTTAATTCGGAACGGAGCGTGTTAATAATTAGGACCCTGACAGCACATATTCTCCTGGGGACGTCCTCTGGACATCTGTGCTATCAGGAAAATAAGTAATTTTGTTTGGAAAATAATAGGTAATAGTATCTGTGACTATTCTTATTTATTTATTTATTTTTATTTACATCTTAATACCGAAACCAAACCACAATGGTGGTTCCAATCGTTTGTTACGAAGAATAATAATAACAGGGGCGAAGTGTTTACGCATACTATCAAGCGCGCGGCACACAGACCTGCGTCTAGCTAAATGACGACGCTGGTTGGCTAGTGTTTACTTAAGAATATCTTCTTCAGTAATTATTTTAGAAAAAACTGACTCAGGACTTTTTGTTTTAATTTTTCATAAAAAGTATCGATATATAGTTAGTGGGCCGCGGATACTTAACGCCCTGTATTAGATGTTATTATTATAATATCATATAATGTCTTCTATCATATGCCTTATCTTTAAGAAGGAAGTCTTATTAATAAGAATGACAAGCTTCTTAGGGTACGTTTCACTTAACGAACGCAACGCTCACGGAATTATTTCGTCCTTGTTGCTCGCCTGAAGTTAAACAAAGACAGATAATGCTCGCGAACGTTGCGGTCGTTAAGTGGAACGCACCCTTATATACAAGGTGAAGAAAAAACCCCGGGGCCCCTGAAAATTTCGAAAAATATACACTTTATAAAAAAATGTTTCAGACAAAAGTTGTAACGTTGAAAAAGATCTATTTACCGATCTTAACAATTTGACCTTGGGTGGCGTCATCAAGGTCAGAACAAGGTCACCTCGGATTTTTTAAATGGAACCTTCAATTTTTTATTGCATATTCTTATAGCCCTTCTTCAGACCTTTTTAAAGCGCTATAGTTTTATCCAATTTGAATAAGCTGTTCCGAAGTTATCGAATTTTTTAAAGTAAGATATCTAGCCAACTAACAAGGGACATTCGGCAACGCGGAAATTCAAAAAAATCTGAAACTCTACATAATTGTAGAGCAGATATACCTAATAACAAAACAATTTTTCGTTGGTGCCCAAAAACGGTTTTAAGGGTGGAAACAACCCCTTGAACAAAGTTGATTTTTGTCTTTCTAAGCGAATATTATCGAAACTATTAAAGATATGAAAAAATGTTTTAGACAAAAGTTTTATGGTTTTAAAAGTACTTTATTATGCTATATTTAGATTTTTTAAAAATGTAAAATTGTGTATAAAATACCCCCCTCCTTCTCTTTTTTCAAATTGTTAAAATCAATTGTCCAACCAAAATAAAGCTTATTTTATGACAAATTCAACCATATATAATAACATCATGTTTGGAAAAGGCAATATTGAAAAAAAAATTAAACATGCTCTTATATGTATGCTACGCGTACCAAACTTAAGGATTCGCTACTTGACGATGGCATTTCTTTCTTCCTCAAATCTTCCTCATAATTGCAAACTGTAAAAGATAAGGAAGGAAGAAAATAGAAAATCTAAAAAAGCAATAAAGTTGATGTTAAGAAGTAAGTAGGAGAAAAATAGCATGATAAGGATACAGTCACTAATATTTAAAAATGTTATAAATTATAAAATTTCACGTAATAGACGTTTATTTTGCCAACATTACGGCTACCTTTTTCATTAATTTAAATGACACGCGTAAATATAAATAAATATGTGTGTGTGTGTATGTGTGTTTTTGTACGTGCGCACGTGTGTGTACATCATGGCAACATGCAAAACACTTATCACAAGTTTTATGACTGTGCGACCAAAATAGCACTCTTTATCAAGTACAGTGCAATCAAGGTTCATTATATTGACATATGTTATCTTCATTCATTTGCATATAAAAGCTGTCCATTTTGGAATACATTTCAGTGTTATTGAAGCAGTTATTGAAGCAGTACGTATATTATTATTGCTGTGAGAAATGTTTAATTAAAATATCCTTAAGATTTGTATCATAATGTCAGTAATAAATCCAGCTAATGTTATTAATTTGTTAATTGCGACATTTCATTTCACAAATATTGCAATAACTCCTGTTAATCATCAAGAGGTGGAACTCCATGATACAATTACTGATTTAATAAAGAGTGCTATACATCACGATATTACGATCGAACATGAGTGGGGACTTAATTTTGACGATCCATCAGAACCGCATGACGTACAATTTGTAGATTGTGATTTGTACGATATTGATGCTGAAGAAGATAATTATGGAAATGAAGTTTGCACTGTGGATGATGAAGGTGGAAATGTAAACTTAAATTATAAGAAAAAGGCAATCGAATTTTGGAAGAGTGGAAAGAAAGGACATTTATCTCTTACTTCTGTACAACATCGTTTTAGAAAAGTAAAGTTTAATTAAAAAATAAGAAGAATAATATATAATAAAATACTTGAGGCTTTTACGGTGTACAGTGACCGGCAGTGATTCGTTCCGCGACAGAGAGAACTCTATTTTCCCTCTC